ATCACCAAAGAGAAAATGCCTTGATCTTTTATCAAATTCTCTCAACTAATTCTTAAAGGAAATGTATGGAGATCAGTTTGGAGACTTTATAATTATTTTGATATTGGGACTCAGAGGGTTAAACCTAAATACTATATGATTCTCTCCTGTAAACTGTATAAAGATGATAGCATGGGCACCAATGTAGTTGGAAGTGCTAAATAACAAAGAAATTCAAAAAAAAAATGTTGTTTGGCTTTCTAAGAATGTTACTTTGATATGTTCCTGATACATGTAACTCTGCAGGAGTATTGTGTGAATGGGTAATGACACTAGATGATGATTTTAGCACAGAAGTGACTGAAAACAGCAATGCCCTTGTAACAGCCCCTTCTTAAAATCTGAAATGTATGATTTTATATTGGTACTCAGTGTTCACTAACTCAAAGAAGTTGTTTTTTAACCCTTGAAGTCCCAAAAGTGACCAACATCAATTTTCTCCTAACAATATCTATACATCATGAAGAGAAAAGGTTGTGAGAATTAATGAAATAATCACCTAAGAGAAAATGCTTTGATCTTCTACCAAATTCTCTTAATGTATTCTTTAAGGAAATGTATGGAGATCAGTTTGGAGAATTTGTATGTGGATATTGGGGCTAAAGGGTTAAAAGCATTACCCACTTATTTATTTGATGAAATCTCTCATTCAATGTTATTTTTTCAAATCCAAAGATAAAAGACCAACAACTAAAGAAGAGAAGAAAGAACAGAAGAGAAAGTTAAAAAATCCTGACCCTGAAGAATGCAGCCTGGGTGTCTTTGATCCTAGAAGTTGTAAAAAAGCTGCACATGCAAAACTGAATATCTTTCTTGAAACATCAGGGAACTCAAAACAGACTACAATAAATGACGAAGTAAGTTTTGTAGACCTGTTTTTGTGGCTTCCAATTTTGTTAAGGTGTAATTTTCTCATCTGACATCATCACACAACAGGGTTCGTACAGGTCATGGAAAACCTGGAAAGTTTAACCTGGAATTTAAGAATTTTATTCTCCAAGCCTGGAAAGTCATAGAATTTAATTGTTGGTCCTGGAAAGTCATGGATAATTTAAGTTATGTTTAAAAGATTAGTTTCTGCAGATGTCAAAGCAAGGACTATGTAAGAAAGCAGAAGTTAGAGACATGTAACTAAACAGCAAACAAAACACATTTAGGTGGATAATGGTATTTGTGTCTGTTGAACAGTGTTTGGTCAAAAAGGCCTGAAACAAGGATAGTTTTGAAAATTCAAACATGACAGCCATAAAGCGTAGGGTCATGTAAAGCTTGAAACAGTCATAGAAAAGTCATTAAAAGTCATGGAATTCAAAGAGGTCAAAAGAGTATGAACCTTGTGCAAAGAGCCGTTGGTTAAAAAATTCTAGTTGAACCTCTATCTATTAGTCACACTGTTCTAAGTTCCAATGGTGACCAACTTCAAATTTCTCATAACAAAATCAATACATTATGTAAGGAAAAGGTTATGAGAATTTTAAAAAAATCATCATCAAGGAGAAAATGCTTTGATCTTTTCTCTTTAATTCTCTTTTTAATAAGTAATAATGTTCTACTTGTATATCAGAGAATGTATGTAGATCATGGTGGAGAAACATTTATACTGTACGTGGATATTTAAGCTTAAAGGGTTAAGTGATAACTCTCTTTTTAGCAGCCAGTTGTTGGAGTCTAAAAGGATTGGCAACAAATGAATGTAAAATAGCCTATGTTAATCAACCATCTCGGTGTTCATTAATGTCAAATAAAATGATGATAATACGCTGTATAAATAGTGTTTAAGACAAGTGTTTGTTTTTTAAATTTTTTTATTTAATCAATTTTTTTACACAGGGAAACTTACTTGCATCCGTCCTTGGTAGATCATTGCACTTGTGGAATTTCACTTCTGAAAGATTAAATTCGTAAGTTTGTCATTTTGTGTAGTTTTAGAGTGGCAAACTTCTGAGTTTCGTTTTTCATTTACTGATCAATGTGTCAAGATGGAATTGATCAGGAAATTGAGTAATTTTAATTTTCAGTGGCCAAACACCTTGTACCAGAATAATTTAAATCATATTGCATTCTGTTTTTACAGTTTTTCAAGGACTATAGATGTAGTTACATGTAGTTATCTGTAACTGTTGTTGTTGTGGTTAATTTTTTATGGGAGCCGAGAAAATGAATTTAAAACTTCACAGGAATTGAGAAAACACAGGTAAAATTTCATGTGTAAGGCTTCATTTTGTTAAATTTTAAATTTATTTTCTCGGGCTCCCATAAGAAATTTTCCTTTTAATTTTTGTTATTACAATAAAAACCAATTAGTTCTACAGCCCTTGAAAACTGTAAAAAACAGTGCAATAAATTATGCTTAATATTATTCTGGTACAAAGCTTTTGTGCACTGAAAATTGATGTTACTCAATTTTCTAATGGATTCTGTCTTAAATGTCTCTTGCATACCGTGATAATCGTTAACACTTGTTGCATGTAACTTGCATGTTAATATGTTTGCTATTGTCTCACTTTCTAGCTTTACATACAAATTTGCTCGATTTTCATGTGCGTCATTTCACCCTTCAGAAGCATGTGTAGCTGCTGGGGAAGGAATAGGAAAGATTATTTTATGGTGAGAGTTTTGGACTTGTTGTAGATATGGTAATTTTAGTAGTGATAGGGGTGCTCTGTGCGTGCGCTTCGCACGCACAAGCGAAGCCCCATAGCTAAGAAAATTTATCCATCCTAGAAAATTTGGTAATCACGTGACTGTACACCACCTGACCGAGCGACCATCTGTCTGCAACACAGGCATACCAATGTAAAATAACTCAATTAACAGGTATAGCAACCCAAATGCAACTTGAGGTTATTTTGACGGGAAATCGCATAGCCACCCACGTATTGTTAAGCAGAGACAACTAGAGTCAATGAAGATGAATACAGAAAGCAGAAATTGTTTCTGCATCCGTGTTGTCTAAAGTATTAAGCTTTGATTAACTGTCATGTCCACAAATTTGGAATAAAGACGGAGAAAAAGAGAAAGTAGGGGAAAGGCCAGCGAAGCTCAACAAGAAAACTGAGAGTGGCAGAGAGCTAGAGGGAGAGAGAAAAAACAAAAGACGCATTTTTTGTTGGAAGAACAGCATGAAAATTTTGTATGTGCAGAAATACTAGTAATAAGAAATAAATGCTAGTAAATGCTAATAAATAAGAAATGCTAGTGGTCACCACAGTAAAAATGAGCAACAGGAAAAAAAAAGTGGGCAAGAACACGTACGTTATTTCCTCCATGAAACGTGTAACCAGGAAGTTTTTAGAAGTTTTACGTTTTAGTCGTGCAAAACAGTGGCAAAAAAATGTACAAAAAATTGGTTGCACCTTCAAGGTTGCTTTTTTGCTAATTAGACCTATTGCTGTGTTTTCACTGTTCTCATTGCCTTCACTGCTTAGCGTTACACGATTGGTCAAACTATATTAATATTATCGAGAGCTTCGCTTTAAGCCCTGGCTAAATCTATATAGTACTCTATTATGTGATGATGTGTTCTAGAATGACAGGATCTTGGTATTTAGCACATGAGGGCACTTTTTTGGTTTACAGACTCTCTTTTTAATGTCTTTCTTTGTTAACTGTTTGCTTACACGTATGTGCCATTCATTTCAAGTACAACAGCAGTGTGTTCTTGTGCTCTGTGGTGGGTTTTGAAAAGTAATTCTGTTCTCTCTCATTAAGAGGCAGCATTATTCTCTGTTCACGCTGATGGAATTTTTCATATTATTTTCTCTCAGTTTTTTTTTGGCATGACACTTGGTAGCTAAAATGTAGGGGTGTATTAGAGTGGTTTTGAAAGCCACATGCACCTTCAGGTTACCCAATAGCTATGGTGCAGGGATTAATGTGTAAGCAGGGATCAAGAGTTATGATTGAATGCTAATTAAAAGCTTCCACGAATCCTCAAATAAATTTTTGTTCCACCGAAATACACTGTTCAAAGGTCCAATTAAAAGCTCTTGTAATGAACCACCTTTTACGTGTAGACATGGGTTTGTCTTACGTAGACTACTGCTTAAGTATTATGGTGATTGTATGAAAATCTATTTAATACCACGAAAGAATTAGCTCAGTCGGTAGAGCACTTGACTGCAGAGCAGGATGTCACAGGTTCAATTCCAGGGACCTGACCAATACTCAAAGTCTTAAAATAACTGAGAATTGAAGGTACTTCCTTTGTCTTGCAAATGGCTAGACCTTCGTGTAGCTTGGGTGGCCACCTAAAATGGCAGTCTTCTTCCCAGTAGGAGATGTTCATATAGTGTCCCCAGTTAGTACTTTCATGCTAAATACATTGACACTTTAAATAAAGTGCAATTTTTTCAATACCAGGCAAGGTCTGGATCAGTTGGAGTCACCAGCCACTATGGTTTTACACTGGCATCCACATCCTGTGAGTGATGTGGTTTTCACAAATGATGGTATGCTATTTTTAACACTTTTATGTGCATTGATCATTGGATTTTCTGGCCACTATTTAATAATAGCATTTAAATGGTTAACCACATTCCCTGGAAGCACAATATACGTCATTTTAGATAGTGTTGGGAAACAACACATTCACAGATTCCATTTTCCTACTAGCAGAGGCAATGTAACAAAAATTCCATTCCACTCAATACAGCCCAGCTCTTTTGTTAGTGGCGTTTGCTGGCTCTGAAAGGTACATGTACAAGATCACCAAACAGAAAATACTGATCTGACTGATCCTTCTTCAGATCTGCATAGTTTAGATTGAAATCTAAGTTTTTTTGTTAGCTAGGATGCTTGATAGTAGATCTAGATTTAGATTTGTCTGAAGGATTGCTGCAATGGATTCTTGTTCCTCTTCATTGTACATTATTAATTTTGCAGAAGTCTCAATACTCTGGTAGTTTATTTTTTATTAGTTTTCCCATTTGAGCAACTCCTAATCTTGGGAATCCTGTAGTACTTGGTTGTCCTAAGGTTTTCAGGGATGACCTTTCTTTGTTCATGTGCATTTTTGGCACCATTTTGAATTATGTCATATTTGCATGCGCATATTCCTCTTGATTACGTCAACAACCAGATGATACAACTGATGTTGAAAGCACAGAGTTATTTGAGTTCAGAGAGGGATGAAATTTGGAGTTGTTTTCAAAGCAGGTTTTATCACTAGGGTTGCGGTTTTGTCCTGCGGCACCTTTCTTATTGTTACCACCCTGTTCGGTCAAGTACACATGTCGGTTTTTCGTTTTTAAAGGTTCTAACCTGCTTTCTGTTGGAGAGGAGGGGGTGTTGGTTCGCTGGCAATGGAAAACACATGAGCAACAGTTTCTTCCCCGATTAGGTGCTCCAATTCATCATGTCGCAGTTAGTCCAGATGATTCATTGACTGCTATCAGTCAAAAAGATAACAGTGAGTGCTTTATAACTATTGCTTTTACTTTTGTCTATATCTGCCAGTTATGGCTGGATATGTCACCTTTCCAGAAAATAGATTACATTTAGATGACCATTCAATCATTTAAAAATGGCCAAGATTTAAACCAATGGACAGCCCTTTACATCTCATGGCTGAAATGCTCGTTAAGAGTTTGCAGACACATTTTCATTACTCAGAAATAATAATGTAAAACTCATTAGACCCAACTTTGGTAAGATGATTGTCTTAAATTTTCATGCTACCCTCAGGCGATTTTTTTCTTACGGAAATGAAACATTAATGCATATTCCTCCTACCCAGAAAGCAGCCCTAACAATTGAGTAAACTAATATTCTACCATATTTATGTTTTAAATTCCAGTTATCAGAGTAATTTGTAACACAGAGAACAAGGTAAAGCGCACTATCCAGGGTTTAAGACAAAGTAAGTGCAGATGTACTGTTAAAAGTAATAATGCAATAAATAAACATGTAAAAAGTAGCAAGGTAATGTTCCAAAGTTTCTGCGACATCACATCATGACATCATTATCAAGGAATAGAAAAATAAAAATGCATCATGATGTCGCCGAAATATCAGAACTTTATCTTGTTACTTTTTACAGGCATATGTTTCTCAAAATCACTATTAATTAGAATACAGTGAATGCTCAAATTATTGCCCTCCTTCAAATCAGTGTACCCCCTTGAATTAGCACTCCCTTGAGGCGAAATATATCAAATAAGCAGTCTCCTTTGAATAAGTAATAAGTGCCCCCCCGTCCCTTAACACCCCTCTTTTATTCATAATTATATGGTAAACAGTATGTTTGTGTTCAATAAAAATAAAAGTAGTGATCTCCCAATCTCAGCTGCTCTGGAAACTCCTTGGTTACCTAAAAAGTCCTTGAATACTCCTTGAATTGTTATAACCCAACACATTAGGGTTAGTTTTTTGTACGTATATGTACAACATTAATTTTATGTTGGTAATGTTTGAAGATAATACATATGTTAATGATTTTTTTTCCTTGGTAGTTGACAATCTTCACATGGGTATTGTGTTTGATCCTCGGTCGAAAGCTTTGGTGACAGGAAACATGCCTGGCATTTTACAGTTTTACATGCCCACAACTGACCACCATGCTCTTTCTGTAAGTTTACTGGAGTTTTTACAGTCTTAGTGTTTTCATAAAGCTTGTTACAAAGTAAATTATAGTAAAACTCCCATAAAAATTTAAAATTCTTCATTTGATGTCATATCTCTGGTTACCAATGTGGTGCGAACCAGTGGTCCCTGTCATTTACAAGGGGGAATTATCAAATTGATGAGAATTTTCCAGGGTCTGTACTGTTATTGGCCACAGAAATGATGTCAGAATGTTTAAAACTCAGGTGGAACCATGAGCTGCAGGCGAGTGTTTTCACTGCAAAGTTTTAATGTCAATTCTATGGTTGATAAGAGTATCGACCATGGAAAAAAGTTGATTTTTTTAAAATAGCATTGACAGGTCTTTACGTCCATTCCCAGCAGAGTTTCTCAGTCAATCTTGCAGGAGAGAAAAAGAAAAAGAAACTGTGCCATCACCACGTCATTTCCATAATCTGTATTCTTAATCACCATAGCTCTCAACCAATCAGTAGAGAGAAATCGCTTGATCTGTTATTGTAAAGATGTAGATTTCTGTAGCTGGTTTTCTTTCCATTATTGTTATTTATTATTATAAGTTATTAGGCATATACTTCTGGAACTGGCAAGCTAGCCTAGTCTAGTTACAACTTTTACTTTATCAGGCCTATCCAGCCAATAGTGACAGTGAAAGGTTTTTAGCAAAAACTCTCTAGCAAAGCCTATTTCATTTTCAAAATGATTACTCCGGCCAGTCAGTTCTGACTTTTGGTAAGTGACCTGACCGACTTATTATGGACCTTAAGATCCAACGATGGCCATGACAAAAAAAATGTCAAAAAAGCAATAGGTTGAACAAGCAAACAACAGCTCTGCATATGCATCATGCTATTTTGTTCATGTCTTTGCGGTCATTGTATGACTACAATGTGAAAATGGATTATATCACATTTTCTTTCTCTTTCTGAACTTAGATATCGTTCTTAGGAATTCAACTCCAGGAGAGTGCAACTGCATCTAACAAAGTAATTGAGCTGGAATAATTTGAGGAAGATTGAAAGAATGCAAATTCATTTTTCAAGCAACCCTTTCCCCGCTATTACCTTCCTCTGATCTTTAAGTCCCTATTGATGACTGATGGACAAAACAACTCTCTGCAGGTTGCAAAGAAAATCATTTTTACAGCTTGCCATTCGGGCAAGCTGAAGCTAACATTTACTAGCCCAGACGTCATTTCAACTAGCCCAAAAGCTTTTTGAAGAGCAGAATTGATCTCACAGTTTTTCTGTTTTTCGAATTCCTCGAAAAAGATCACTTGCCCGTCGGGCAAGTTGAAAACAGAATTCACTAGCCCAATAGCAAAATCCACTAGCCCTGGGCTGTCGGACACCACTTTCTTTGCACGCTGCTCTGACTGATTGTGTGAGTGTCTTTTTCCCTTTCCAGCTTGATGTCGTAAAGCAGAACTATGTGCCAGGCAAGCAAGGCAAAAGAGGTGCTCTGGTCTATACCAAAATTGATCATGTTGCATTTAATGATGATGGAGAGTGGCTGGCAACTGTGAGTGCGTGAGCTTGTAAAATAACAACATTATTGGATTAAGTTTTTGTGATATCAAGAATGATCAAGGTCTCGAAACAGCCACCTGCTGTATAACACTACATTTTAACGACTATTGGAAAAAAATGTTAAATTAATCTGCTGCTCTTTTTGGGTTAAAAATAAAAATGTTTATTAATGATAATTCTTCAACCAGGTTGAGAGAAGAGATGATCACAAGACAGCCAGGGAACTGAGGCTTAAGTTCTGGGAATACAATAAACATGGTCAAAAGTAAGCTGAGTCTGACCTACAAGACTTATGTTCAGCGCATGTGTTGAATATTTATCTTATTATATTATCTGTTAGTGGTATGTACTTGTGTTGTTAGCAGTATGTACCAGTGTTGTTAGTAGTATGTACCAGTGTTATGGCTATGGTGTGGGTCTTTTCGATTATCCACAAACAAATCTCCAAATTGATCTCTCTATATTTTTTTCTTTAAAGAATGAGTTGAGAGAATTTGATAAAAGATCAAAGTATTTTCTGGTCGGTGATCATGTTACATATTCTCATCACCTTTCCCCCTGATTGTCTTTTGATATCGTTCGGAGAAAATTGATGTTGGTCACCATTGGGAGTTAAAGGGTTAACTGAAGCCACATGCACTCCTTGAGTGCCTATTTTTATGTTTTTTGACCCTGTTGTTGTTCTTGTTCTTCATCCTTTCAGTTATGAACTCAACACTTGTGTCGACCCACCACACGAACAGAAAATTGTAGCTTTACAGTTCCAACCACAGAAGAGAAAAGACCCTGATAAGACTCTACTAGCGGTGACAGCTGGTGGGGATGGGAAGTTTAAAATCTGGGTTCTTGGTGAAGAAAGACTTGGGAGAAGTAAGAATAAACAAAAAAATTGTAATGATGGGTTTGGAGGGAAACAGGTCTAAACTATTGTTTTGTTTTTAGCCTCGATGTTTCCCAAGGTTCAGTTATTGAGATTTGGGGTAATTGCGGGCGACAAGAGGAGCCTGCAATCCTAATATCCAGGTTGTTATTACGCATGTGTCGCATGTATGTAGCCAGCAGCCAGCATTCTTTTGGACTTGCACTAAGAATAAATGGAATGCATAGAACGTAATTTGATCAGCGCATTTGGACCTTCTATCACTCATAATCTGATCACGCCTGTTTTGACCATCTGTCATGGGAAACTTACGCAAAGCACAGCGTTGGAGCAAAAGCGTTTTGACCTTCGATTGTTGTCGCCCCCATTACGTAACCTTCGGTTATTACTAGTCAAGTACTGCTTATTTCTTGATGGACCAGGTGATTTGTAATAGTATAGCAAAACAAAGATGATGGATACAAAGTACCAGTCAACATTTAATAATTTGTGGATAGCATTGATGTCACAGATTTTGCAATGTTGCCTGCTCAGAGGTGAATTAAAAATGAAGCCTCGGGCTGTTGGGAAAAGAGTCCCATTAACAAAATAGTTTCACTACCAGACTTGAGACAAATCAAATGTAGACCAGGTTTTTATTGAATTTTACATTTTGGTTCTCTTAAGACAACATTTACCTTGGCTTGAAAAAATCCCAACAAGAAGATTTTCCGGTCAGGCTGGTAACTTTTGTTGTCGGGTTTATTTGCCCAATGAGCCAGGGTCAGGGCAAGTCTTCTTCTTACCAAATTATAACATTTGACAAGGATGTAACTACCCAGGCAAGCAAAATATGAGCGAAGCTAAAATTCATAGAGTCGTCAAGCCCTACTAAGGTTTACATTGGCCCAACTTTATTGCATAAGGTATGCTTGGGATAAAAGAGCATTGTACGTTTCTGGGAAACTGCCACCTACCCCTATCCTAAGCCAACATTTTGCCCTAAGTGAGAAGTAAGTGTTAATGTTGGCTTAGGGGAGGGGTAGGTGGGCAGTTACCCAGAAACGTATAATCCGGATAAAACATAGACATGAACTTTATCACGTGAGGCAATCCTGTCACTTCCTGTATTTGTAAGAAGCCCTTTGCATATGAAAAGTTGGACCGTCTAAATCAGCCTCTACATGGCTATTATTGTTGCTCTTTAGGCAATAGACATTCTTGGTCCTGTCAATCAGTTGGTTTCTATGACGACACACCTTGTCAAGATGCAGCGTTCTCTCAAGATGGCTCGCTTCTTGCCGTGGCTTACGCTCAGGTTTGTAGCATACTACGTAACTCACATTATACAGAATTCCCTCTTAAATGGCCTGATTAATAATGTTGTTTAAAGTGTTGTGGGTAAAATCCGAGCCACTGGAGAATGCACGATCCACGCGGGGTGAACGCTCTGGCGTCTCCTTTTGCATGTTGCGTGCGCGTGACTTCTAACGATATACCCCACATGGACAGCTTACTCGCAGGTGAAGGTTAAACCGGAATTAAAACCAGTTTGATTCAGAACTTCCTTTGTTTTCTAGACCTAAACAACTTTAGCTAGTTGAAGCTAGACTTAAAGCCATTGTTTTGGTTTTCAAAGCTGGTGCTTTTCGCTACTAGTGGGCTATAACATATAGCCTAGTAGTAGCTCAGACAATCAGAACACAGCATTGATAATAGACCACTAGTTGGATTTTACTAAAGACGTTTACCCTCGGTAAGTATGTTAAAGGTAAAGTTCTTCCTTTTTGTTGTAATATTGCAGATAATCACCTTATGGACGCCTGAAACAAATGAAATGAGAAAAACCCTGGCTTTACCTTATCCGGAAGAAGAAATCAAGTAAGACTTGATAATTTTATCACATAACTGAAGTTGCAATATGTGTACTCTGACGTATTCATTCTGTGAAACCAACTCATCATCCAAGTATAGTGTGCATTCTAATTGCCACAAACTTAAGTTAAAACCAATGGCATAGACTGCACTGCACTGCAATACTCTTGAAGAAAATCATTTGGCTAAGAAAGGTCAAATATATTTAGGGTGGAAACAATCATCAGTATCTTTCTGTGCTTTATCATTCTCGTCCCCAGAGCCTCCTGTTCCCTTAGCCGGCGAGGCCTGAGCACGAGCACAGGTCCTTGTGCTCAGGCCTTGCCGGTTAAGGGAACAGGAGGCTCTGGGGACGAGAATGGAACTTTATTGTCTTGAACTTATGACTGTGATGTTGGCACATTATACCGGGTCGAGTTAACTTTCGTAAAGGCCTCTGGGAGTGTTATTAGGGAGAAGGAAAAAATTGGCCAATAGCTGACCGGCGCGTCCTCAATGACGATCCCAGAATGAATTGCGGGACACATTTCGGCTCCAGTCCCCTCCTCGTTTCTAAATGGCGACCCAAGTTGCACTCATTGTTTTGTTTTTTTGGTGTGGCCCTATCGAAGCTCACAGCAGTTTTTTTGTACCGTTGTGAGTCAAACAGGTGCCTAAAAGAAATATTTTCCATCAGGTCGCTAATTTGGTCTGTTCCTGTGCCATCTTAGCATCACCCAGGAGAATAACATGCTCTGTGAAGCCTTCCATCATTGCAACGTTTTTTTAGCTGACTCCTGATTAGGAGAAGACTTCACGTTTGTTAGGAGGTTGTGAACTGAAACTGCCGTCAATTATGACATGTTTACTCATCGTTCACTCATGTTTTCTCGTACTTTTCAGATAAAAAGGATAGATAAAAGGTCGCTGACGACAATGCTCTGGTCATGCGCAATTTTCCCAATAAGTTGCAGAGGCATACCGATTAAACGATAAATTAATTATTGAGCTCGTTTCGCAAAATACCTTGTTTTTGCTCTCCCTCGTCCAATACTAGGAAGCTTAAGCAACGACGACGGCGAGGGCAACGAGAATGGCAAAAAAGCAATAGGTTTAGATGGCAAAACAACAACTTTGCCCGTGCATCACCCTTTTTTGTACATTTCTTTGCCGTCATGGCACGACTACGACGTGGCCCTTCCTAATTTCACGTTTTGTGGAGGACGTGATAACAAGACAACAACTTCCTTTTTCTTTTCCTAACTTGGATACAGTATTTTAGACTTCTACTCCAAAAAAAAATGCCAACATTTGACGAACTTAGCGAGATGGAATGAGCGCGATAAAGTCTGCGACAGGGCGAATTCGCTTTTTAAGTGACGTTTTTGCTGCTTTCGCCTTCGATGTTGCCTAAGCTCCCTATGGCTTATCGGTGCGCGGCTAAAAGTAGGTTTAATTTGTTATTTTTTTCCTGGTTATTTTCAGGAGTATTAAGTTCGGTAACAACAGTTCTTCTCAGTACTTAATCTCTATCACCAATCAGTATCTCACGGTCTGGAATCTTCTTTCTTGTTCAGGTAAGTTATAGTGACATCCTTGTAGTAACAGGGCAGGGAAAACTGTCGCTTATTCTTCTCAGTACTTAATCTCTATCACCAATCAGTATCTCACGGTCTGGAATCTTCTTTCTTGTTCAGGTAAGTTATAGTGACATCCTTGTAGTAACAGGGCAGGGAAAACTGTCGCTTAACTTGCGCTTAAAGCGTGCGGTAGCCTTCATATGTGGGTAGTATACGTTTTAAATAAACGGTGCCAACTTTCCTCACTTGCAGCCAGTGGCTGAATAATGCGGAGAAACCAGAGGTGAGATCGGACGTCAGCATGTTAAGGCGCACTAGGTACCCACCCAGGTCAATGACGGCGCAAAACGCGAAACCGTGGCCTTCATCCTTTTTTTTTTTTCGAGCAATGACAATGGTTCCTTAACGTCCCCTTCCAACTGTTATGTAAGGATGAAGGAGACAAGGCCAATGCCTTAACGTCAGCAGAGAAAAGGTTTTAATCACCGCTAGCTATCTATCCAGTTTTAAAGACCTTCATTGGTGTTTGAAACCTGGCCGGGATTTGAACTAGCGGCCTCCCGCTCAGCAGACTTCCCCGCAAACATTTTGTTGCTCAATTGTTATATCGTTTGGTTTATCCTTTATCCTGTATGATTCGTTTCTCTTTCAGTTTGGTGGAGTGTGGAAGCTCCAGTAACAAGCCTGGCAACTGATCCACAGTCACACCTGATGAGTACTTTTGTTGCCTTTAACAAGAACAAGTCACATTGTGAGTTAGTTTTATGGTGTACATTGTTACCTGATAATGCATGGTGCTTTAATCAGCTTTATTGGCAATTGAATAAATAACGATTTATAACATCCACAAGGTGGTTTTTCGTCGCTGAAGCGAAGCGATAACAATAGCGTTCTTCAAAACATTCCCGTGGTGCAATCTGACACAACGTCGAACCAGTCTCTCGTCCAATCTCAAAAGAGCCAATGTGAGCAGCCATACTTGGCATAGTCTCCCTCGCAGCCGGTTTTGTCTCGTCACGCAACGCTTCTCCCAAGCGAGGAGCGTTTTGTGACGAGACCAAAACGGCTGCGAGGGAGACTATAGTTGGCAGTTTTGTCAAAAACCATCACGTGAGAGCGGGTGTGAGAGCCACATTGTTCGTCATTCGCCGTACTAAACCGCACTGAACAGGACTGCTGTTGTGTTGAGTAGCTTTTGCTTAAATTGTTGGCTATATGACTACATTGACGGACAAGAAACCTCGTAATCGTTGTTGTGGGAAATACTTTATTTCAGTGCCGTTTTTGTTTTCATGTATCTTCAACTGCACTTTTTCTCTTTTTATTTCGTCTTGTTATTATAGTAGCGAGCTTACGCAACAGGACGGGAGAGGAAAGAAGACGGCAAGCCTTGTGTGACAAGCGGGACAATTTTGTTTGAAAAACTTTTGCGCCAAACTGCACCATCCTTTCAACGGATCTTTTTGTAAAAGACCATTAAACATTAACTTAATTGAAGATCACGACAAAACACATCAGTAATAGGCCTATCACGTTTGTCACACACAAGCGTTTTGCCGTCGTCTTCTTTCTGCCGTCCTGTTGCGTAAACTCACTACTATAATAACAAGACAAAATAAACACGCTATCCTTCATTTTAAATTTAAACGTCTTAGCTGGTTTACCTAGTCATCTGTAAGACCCTGAAGAAGAAAGGACGTGCCTTTCGAAATAATGGCAATAATTAAATTATATTCCTAACTGTAAAATCAGCCTTGCTTCTTTTCGTTATTTTATCAGTGTACATTTTCGACCCAGCGTCTCCTCGTCCCGTGGCGGTGCAGGCGGCTGTATCTAGGAAAACAGACATCATTGCTGCAGCGTTTTATCCCACAAGTTTGGTACGCGGCAGCACGGAAGGACACAGTACTAAAATGTCTAAACTTTACTTTTTGACGGCGAAACAGGTGAGTTCTTTATTCTTAGTTTTTCCTTAGGCTACGTTGACACGGCACCTGACGAATTTTCGACAGGCTGAAAAATTTGACTGGACACTTCGTTCACACTGAACGGTTTGGAGCGATTTTCGTATGACCTAGGAATGAAAACGCGCGAACATAACAGAAACAACAAACGAACGGAAATAGAGCGATTTGATTGGTTTATCGAACGGATACAAACGCGCGTGGCCTTTGGCTGGTTATGGGCAAACGCTCGGGTGAAAAAACTTCATGGCCGAGAACTTTCTAGAAATCGACCGATACTTCGCTTTGACGTCATACTGCAACACGATTGGCCAATCGAACAATTCCTTCTGCATATTAGGGTTTTCTTTGGCGAAAAAATGAAGAGGCCATGTTTTGATCTTTTCATCCACTGGCTGATAAAACAAATAACGAACACTTACCGAAACCATTTTTCAAGGTCATAGGAAAATCGCTCTAATATTTTCCCTCTGTTCACACGGAACTTTGAACGGCTAGGCGTCTAAATTTTCATGCGGTTGGGGTGGGTCCGTGTGAACGAAACACCTAAATGCACGAATTTCAACAAGTCGAAAATTCGTCTGGTGTCGTGTGATGTTCTTAAAATATCTGCTTTTCAGCATTTACGATTTATCAGGCTCTGATACACTTTTTCATATTTCTTACGTTTGAGTGCTCTATTTTGACAACTTTATCGTTCATTTTGCTACCCGAGGAGCTCTTTAGCCGCGTCAGTTTTCTCGCAACAAGTCCCTTTTTTTCCAGTAACTAGTCAACAGCGAAACAGAACCTGCTTTTCGAAGCAATTTCAGTGTTAATCAAACGCCTGTTTCTGAATGTAAGATTTTTGTATTTTTACGCGTCATAGGTTTTCCGTTACCTGCCGCTGGATGTTTTTCCCGCGCCTTTCGCCATTTAAAATCAGCTTTTCTGAGCGCTTTTTTCCCATCTCCCATAATACACCTTGTAATACACCAAAATGTGGCGTAAGTATTGTCCTCAATATCTCTTGGGACGACTGTTAAACCCAGGAGAAGTTAAAAACATTTTGGGGGGCAAGCAAGTTGGGAGACGCGCAAATAGCGAATTGTATCTCTACTCGCGCATGCGCCTTAAATTGTGATGACTCAACCTGGCTGGCAATCTGGTTCCCAGGGCCTCTCCTCTTCTGCAGCCGTTTAGATCCCTGCCCAGAGTTTTATGTGTAAGCTTCATAAGAGCAATAGTTAATGTCTGTTTCTTTGTGTCCAATTAGCCAAAGAGTTTGTGATACAGTAGACTACGAGCAGCCTCTCTTTTTTCTGTACTCCGTCAAGCAAAACGCGAGATACGCAAATGGCCACGCGCGTGACTGATGGCGCGAGACGGAAGAGGCACGAAAAAAGAGAGTGTCTCTCTTTTTTCTTCTCGGGCTGCCGCCCTCGTTTCGCGCGTCTCGCGGCTTCGCCGCTCAAGCGCGCGTGCATTGTTCTCACTAAATCTGAAGAAAAAGAGAGACTGCTCGCAGTCTAGTGATACAATAATGTCACCACTGGTGTTTTTCACTGAATTTCAGGAGCTCTTCACTCTAGACTGCGAAGAAACTACGAGCGAGGAAAACAACGCAACAACATCACAGGTAAAAACGAGATGACATCATCCATTGGTTAGTTGGTTATAACGAAACAAATGTGGCTCGACCTACCCTTCAACAAGTCACACCCGGCTGTCAAGAAAAGCATTTTTGTTGTTTGTTTTTCAAAGAGTTATTTATATACCTCCATGGCGTTCCTCATAAGCACAGAAACAAAATATTCTGCCATCCGCCACTTTAGAAGAAGGAAACTGGATCCAGTTAACTTTCGCAAAGGCTTCTGGGAGTGTTACTGGAGACAGAGAGAAAAAGGCCCTTTGCAGCCAGCCATTTACGTGGTACAAAGCCTCCATGCTTGAGAGCAAAAGTCGCACTGGGACAAGACAAACAAAGGAAATTACCATTTAAAATTATGTGTTCCTTTTGTTTGTCTTATCCCGGTGTGACTTTCACTCGCCAGCATGGTAGTTTTGTACCACGTGAATTGCTGGCTGCAAAGAACCTATTGGCCAATAGCTGACCGGCGCGTCCCAAATAACTATCCCAGAGGCAATTGCGGGACAAATTTCGGCTCTTGTTCCCTTCTCGCTTTTATGAAGTAACGAATGACCCCCCTTCTCTTGTAAGATTTAAGTGGGTCATTCTACGTTTAAATTTGTTCTTCCTTAATCTCAGTGGCCCTATCGAAGCTCAAAGCAGTAATTTGTCAGTGCCGTTTTTGTTTTCATGTATCTTCAACTGCACTTTTTCTCTTTTTATTTCGTCTTGTTATTATAGTAGCGAGCTTACGCAACAGGACGGGAGAGGAAAGAAGACGGCAAGCCTTGTGTGACAAGCGGGACAATTTTGTTTGAAAAACTTTTGCGCCAAACTGCACCATCCTTTCAACGGATCTTTTTGTAAAAGACCATTAAACATTAACTTAATTGAAGATCACGACAAAACACATCAGTAATAGGCCTATCACGTTTGTCACACACAAGCGTTTTGCCGTCGTCTTCTTTCTGCCGTCCTGTTGCGTAAACTCACTACTATAATAACAAGACAAAATAAACACGCTATCCTTCATTTTAAATTTAAACGTCTTAGCTGGTTTACCTAGTCATCTGTAAGACCCTGAAGAAGAAAGGACGTGCCTTTCGAAATAATGGCAATAATTAAATTATATTCCTAACTGTAAAATCAGCCTTGCTTCTTTTCGTTATTTTATCAGTGTACATTTTCGACCCAGCGTCTCCTCGTCCCGTGGCGGTGCAGGCGGCTGTATCTAGGAAAACAGACATCATTGCTGCAGCGTTTTATCCCACAAGTTTGGTACGCGGCAGCACGGAAGGACACAGTACTAAAATGTCTAAACTTTACTTTTTGACGGCGAAACAGGTGAGTTCTTTATTCTTAGTTTTTCCTTAGGCTACGTTGACACGGCACCTGACGAATTTTCGACAGGCTGAAAAATTTGACTGGACACTTCGTTCACACTGAACGGTTTGGAGCGATTTTCGTATGACCTAGGAATGAAAACGCGCGAACATAACAGAAACAACAAACGAACGGAAATAGAGCGATTTGATTGGTTTATCGAACGGATACAAACGCGCGTGGCCTTTGGCTGGTTATGAGCAAACGCTCGGGTGAAAAAACTTCATGCCCAAGAACTTTCTAGAAATCAATTGATACTTCGCTTTGACGTCATACTGCAACACGATTGGCCAATCGAACAATTCCTTCTTCATATTAGGGTTTTCTTTGGCGAGAAATTGAAGAGGCCATGTTTTGATCTTTTCATCCACTGGCTGATAAAACAAATAACGAACACTTACCGAAACCATTTTTCAAGGTCATAGGAAAATCGCTCTAATATTTTCCCTCTGTTCACACGGAACTTTGAACGGCTAGTCGTCTAAATTTTCATGCGGTTAGGGTGGGTCCGTGTGAACGAAACACCTAAATGCACGAATTTCAACAAGTCGAAAATTCGTCTGGTGTCGTGTGATGTTCTTAAAATATCTGCTTTTCAGCATTTACGATTTATCAGGTTCTGATACACTTTTTCATATCTCTTGCGTTTGAGTGCTCTATTTTGACAACTTTATCGTTCATTTTGCTACCCGAAGAGCTCTTTAGCCGCGTCAGTTATCTCCCGACGAGTCCCTTTTTTCCAGTAACTAGTCAACAGCGAAACAGAACCTGCTTTTCGAAGCAATTTCAGTGTTAATCCAACGCCTGTTTCTGAATGTAAGATTTGCGTATTTTTACGCGTCATAGGTTTTCCGTTACCTGCCGCTGGATGTTTTTCCCGCGCCTTTCGCCATTTAAAATCAACTTTTCTGAGCGCTTTTTTCCCATCTCCCACAATACACCTTGTAATACACCAAAATGTGGCGTAAGTATTGTCCTCAATATCTCTTGGGACGACTGTTAAACCCAGGAGAAGTTAAAAACATTTTGGGGGGCAAGCAAATTGGGAGACGCGCAAATAGCGAATTGTATCTCTACTCGCCCGTGCGCCTTAAATTGTGATGACTCAACCTGGCTGGCAATCTGGTTCCCAGGGCCTCTCCTCTTCTACAGCCGTTTAGATCCCTGCCCGGGGTTTTATGTGTAAGCTTCATAAGAGCAATAGTTAATGTCTGTTTTTTGTGTGTTCAATTAGCCAAAGAGTTTGTGATACAATAATGTCACCACTGGTGTTTTTCACTGAATTTTAGGAGCTCTTCACTCTAGACTGCGATGAAACTACGAGCGAGGAAAACAACGCAACAACATCACAGGTAAAAACGAGATGACATCATCCATTGGTTAGTTGGTTATAACGAAACAAATGTGGCTCCCCATCTACATGATACACCTCGACCTACCTTTCAACAAGTCACACCCGGCTGTCAAGAAAAGCATTTTTGTTGTTTGTTTTTCAAAGAGTTATTTATATACCTCCATGGCGTTCCTCATAAGCACAGAAACAAAATATTCTGGCATCCGCCACTTTAGAAGAAGGAAACTGGATTCAGTTAACTTTCGCAAAGGCTTCTGGGAGTGTTACTAAAGACAGAGAGAAAAAGGCCCTTTGCAGCCAGCCATTTACGTGGTACAAAACCTCCATGCTTGAGAGCAAAAGACGCACTGGGACAAGACAAACAAAGGAAATTACCATTTAAAATTATGTGTTCCTTTTGTTTGTCTTGTCCCAGTGCGACTTTCGCTCGCCAGCATGGTAGTTTTGTACCACGTGCATTGCTGGCTGCAAAGAACCTATTGGCCAATAGCTGACCGGCGCGTCCCAAATAACTATCCCAGAGGCAATTGCGGGACAAATTTCGGCTCCTGTTCCCTTCTCGCTTTTATGAAGTAACGAATGACCCCCCTTCTCTTGTAAGATTTAAGTGGGTCATTCTACGTTTAAATTTGTTCTTCCTTAATCTCAGTGGCCCTATCGAAGCTCAAAGCAGTAATTTGTACTTCTCTGAGTCAAACAGGTGCCTAGAGAGAAACATTTTCCATCTGGTCGCCAAGTTGGTTTGTTATTGTGCCACCTTAGCATCACCCAGGAAAATAACATACTTCGAAATCCTTAATTCAAGTAATATCCTGTAGATAGCTAAAGAAAAGATACACTACCATTCAATTTTTTTGCAGTAGTTAGAGTGAACTTGATAAGCGTAAAGTATCCTTTTGACGATAATTCTTCCACAGAAACAAACGCACTTCAGCAAGGTTTCGCTGGTACTATTCTTAAGCAAAACCAAATATTCAATTCTCACTCCTTTCTTGAAGTCAAGTAAATACCCAACGACTACATAATGCTTACATAATGGAACCCCGCCGACCACCATTCTAGTGATGCGATGTAATTGTTCTCTCTAATTTTATTTTATTTTCCCATTATCTATAGCAGACGTTGAAGGCAGACCCATCTGTACAACAATCAGAATTCTTAAAGATATTTGGACAACCTTCGAAGAGTAGTAAGCTAAATAGAATATGGCCCTTTGTTAAAACTAACTATTTTGGACTTTCTCCCATAAAATGGCTATAACTGTCGCCAAGTTTCGTTTTCCTGCCTTTTGGTAAATTGAGTTTTATCTGTCTCGTGAAGGTACGCATGTCTGAAATGGCTGAAAACGTTG